ATAGGGGTATTCCAGGAAGAGGTAGTAATTTGTTCTTATCACAAGGAGGCCTTGACAACTGCAACCTAGTAATTTTCCAGAGGTCATACTGGGCCTGTGGTCCCTTACACGAAAACAGTATGCCTCAATCTGCATTCAGACTCCATAGTTCTTTCTCTGAATGTGGAGAGTATTTTCCATCACAAGTTCAAGGGGGCACTTCTTTAGGAATAGCCGGGTCTATGATTTTAGGATTAACTAGGTCTGATAATTAGGAATAATCTGGTCTATAAATATTTTCTTTTCTTTTAAAAGTATTTTCTTTTTTTAAAATTGCATTTAAAAACAATTTTTAGAGCTTGTTTATTTTTAAAATTTTGAGTTCCTAATTCTCTCTCTCCCTCCCTCTCCTCCCCCTTCCTTGAGAAGGCAAGCGACTTGATATAGATGATCAGTCATGCAAAACATATTTCTGTATTAGTCACGTTGCAAAAGAAAACACATGGTCTATGAATTTTCATTATACAGAAGGCAATGGATGGATGACTGTCTCAGGACAAAGAATGAGTAGGAAGAGGAATCAAACTCCTTTGATTTTTCAACCAAGCATCCCAAAGTGCCTATTCCTTCCTGGCAAGATTAGTTGGCTTTAAGAAAATTTGAATTCAAAGACGACAGCATTGGTTGTATTTGCTAAAGACCAAGAAGCTGATAGAAGCCCAAAACCACACATTTGGATTTGTACTACTTTATTAACCTTTATTCTCTTAGGACAGGAAATGAAAAAGAGATCTCAAGTCTGCAACCTGGATTCTTGGCTAAATGCCTTAGATCATTCATTCATTCATCCATCCATTCATTCATTCATTCATTCATCCAACAAGCATTTGTTAGGCACTGTGCTATGAATTGAGGATATAAAGAAAAAAAGAAATTTGCCTTCAAAGGGCTTACATCTTACTGGGGAGAAACAACATAAATACGGGTAAGAAAATACAAAAAATGAATGCAAAGTAATTACCAGGGATGAGGGTAAAGAGAGCACTAGCAACTTGGGGGATCAGGACAGAGCTCTTGTTCTTTTTTATATATTTTTTCCAATTCCAAGTAAAAACAATTTAAACTTTTTTTTTATTATAATTTTGAGTTCCAACTTTTCTCTCTTCCTCCCTCCCCTCTCCCATCACTGAGAAGGTAAACAATTTAATGAAGGTTATATATGTGCAGTCATGTGAAACACATTTCCATAATTAGTCATGTTGTGAAAAAAAATAGATCAAAAAATTGCAGGAAAAATAAAGTTAAAAATGCTTCAATCAACATTCAGATTCCATTAGCTCTTTCTCTGGAGGTGGATAATATTTTTCATCATAAATCTTCAGAATTATCTTGAATCTTTTTATTGTTGGGAATACCTAAGTCATTCATAGTTCAACATTGTACAATATTGTTATTACCTTTGTACAACATTCTCCTGGTTCTGCTCACTTCACTTTGCATTAGCTCATATAAATCTTTCTAGGTTTTTCTGAAAGCATCCTGATCATCATTTCTTATAGCACAATAATATTTCATAGCAATCATATGCCACAACTTGTTCAGTCATTCCCCAATTTATGGGCATCCTTTTGATTTCCAGTTCTTTGCTACCACAAAAAGAGCAGCTATAAATATCTTTGTGCATGTGTTTTCTCTGCCCTCCCCCTCCCCCTTTTATGATCTCTTTGGGATACAGACCTAGTAGTGGTTACTGAATCAAAAGGCATGCACGGTTTGATAGCCCTTTGGAAATAGTTCAAATTGCTCTCCAGAATTGTTGGATCAGTTCACAACTGCACCAACAGTGCATTAGTGTCCCAATTTTCCCACATCCCCTCCAATATTTGTCATTTCTCTTTTCTGTCATATTAGCTAATCTGATCTGTGTAAGGTGGTACCTAAGAGTTGTTTTAATTTGCATTTCTCTAATCAATAGTGATTTAGAGCATTTTTCTTATATGACTATAGATAGTTTTGATTTCTTCATCTGAAAACTGCCTGTTCATATTCTTTGACCATTTATCAATTGGGGAATGATTTGTATTATTATAAATTTGACTCCATTCTCTATATATTTGGGAAATGAGGCCCTTATTAGAGAAACCTGCTGTAAAATCCCCCCCCCCCAAGTTTTCTGCTTTCCTTTTAATATTCACTCCTTTGGTTTTATTTATGCAAAACCTTTTTAATTTAATGTAATCAAAATTATCCCTTTTACATTCCTTTACAATGCTCTCTGTCTCTTATTTGGTAATAAATTCTTCCTTTATCCATAAACTTGACTTAATTTGCTTATGGTATCACCCTTTATGTCTAAATCATATACCCATTTTGCCCTTACCTTGGTATATGGTGTGAGGTGTTGGTGTGTACCCAGTTTCTGCAAAACTGCTTTCCAGTTTTCCCAGCAAGTTTTGTCAATTAGTGAGGCCTTGCCCAAAAAGTCTGGATCTTTGCATTCATCAAACATAAGATTACTACAACCATTTCCTCCTGCATATTGTATACCTAATCAATTCTACTGATCCTCCACTCTATTTCTTTAAGGCTGTTGTTCTAAGCCTTGAAGAA